GGAGATGGCAAAGGCTCAAGAGATGTGTTTAAAACTAACATTAACAATAGAAAGTGCACATTTACATAGTACATTCCTGAGCCTTTTCACTGTCCTTGAGTCCAATATTCCACAGCACTCAACCAACTTTGCCATCTGCCGTTGTGCTAAAACACCAGCCACGTTTCTGAGAACCGCTTATGGTTTCCTATGTAATACTGAAAGTGCAAATACATCCACTCTTGCCCAAATCACTCCCTCTTCTGGAAACCTCCTTTCCCTTTCTCTCAAGTCCTCCACTGTGACTCTTCAACCGTTATGTTAGGATAACAGAAAGGAGCATCTCATACACGCATGGGAATATGGGCAGCTCTATCAACATAAGTCTTTCTCCAGGTCTCCTCCAGCTTGGTCTGCAATGCTCCCCTCCGTGCTGGTTCTCTGAAGCCAGTGCCTTCACCAGCTCCCACCCTGCCAGTCACCAGAGAACAAGTCTCATCCAGGATCTCTTTTAGGGTTTTATGCTGCTGCACATCACTGTAGTACTTTCCACACAAAACCAATAGGAATTACAAAGTCCATCATAGTAGAAATATTCCTCTTAATCCCATAAGAAGCATCACCACTGTGTCCTGAAACAATACAGCTCTGCTCTGCAAGCTCAGCTCCATGCAAGAAAAGGAGGAAATACAGCACCTTCTAGTCATTAGTTGATGTGCACCTCAATGTGAAGTGAGAGCTCCTTCCAACCACCCATATGCCCGCAGTGGACAATACTGTCTGCTTGCTAGGGCCAAAGCCATGGAGCTGGAAGGCTGAGCTGTACTGACATAAGTGACCACTGAATGACCCTTCAGTGATGCTTCTGAGGCATAACCACAGAGGGCCTGATTCTCCTTCACCATGCACTTGCTCTGACTGTTTGCACCAGCGCAAACAGGGGAAGAGGATCTAGGACATCCCCACATCAGAGTGATACCAGCATCACAAGACAAAATTCCTCCTTTTTCTTCCCAAGCAATCAATCCATCAACATGTTAAAAAAAAAAGTAAGTTTAATGTAGGTGGCATGTTTCATACAGAATTTAACAGGCACCCAAAACACCAGCTGGTGCCATGTTCTGCAGCGTTTAACAAGGTGAAACTCCAGCACTTCAGTCTCGTTCATTCCCAGGCTAAACAACAGGCCAAGGCAGCTTTGCCACCACACGTATCCCCACCCCTGGTCTGCAGTCTGCAATGCAGCCCGAGCCACTCTGCTGCTCAAACAGCTGGAATGCTCTGGAGCGAGCAGGACTTGTGGGGGAAGCTCTCCAAAGGGCTTGGTGTGGGCCTGAGATGGCCACGCTCTCCCAAATCAGTATTTCTGGTCTTTTTCCTAATTACTTGTGAGGCCATTTTTAACCCAGTAAGTGTGAGAGCAAGATTTAAAGCCCAAACATGAAAGAAAATGGGAAGTTCAGCTTCCCCTGTTTCCTTATTTGTATTCTGTGAAGTTTTGCTCTCCCCCCTTATCAAACATGCCAGGTTTTTCAATTAAATTAAATGGGGAAAAACCCCACCAGCTTATTCTTTGCATACTTAATACAACATTTAGTTTGCTTCTTTCTCCCTCCCTCAGCTGTGGCTGAGGCTCCCTTTGAGCTTATAAGAAAGTTTTAGAATTTCAGCTCCTTGAGAAAAAATATTTTGGCGAAGTGATCCTAAAAGCTTTAAAAACCCCTTAAAATCTCAAATTTAAACCCACTGAATTTAAATTCTGAACCATTCCCAAGATCCTGCTTATCCTGCAATCTCCTGGGATGCGTGAGGTTTAATTAGCTCCTGCTGGAAAACACTCTGAAAAGTGCCATGAAGGTGCCAAACACTGCTCCACTCGTGTGGATCTAAAGCGTTCCCATTATTACATCATAAGCCAGATGATTTGGAAGTTAATTCCTCTCCTCACCAGCATGGCCTCGAAGGGAACACGTGTTCCCCACTGCACTGGTAGGATCACACCACCCAAGCACTGCAGGATGTCCATGTGCTGGTAATGACCAAGCATGAAGTATTTTGAACTTCATGGTTGAGGCCTCCTTCGCAATTATTTAACCTTGGGGTTGTCCACCCTGGTGTGCCACTGCAGGCTTGAGATTCAGGGCATTGGGACAGCAGGAACTTGGCTGCCTTTGTAAAAGACAACTGGGGAATCACTTCCCACTGTCTTCTGCACAACTTGGCCCCAAGGCCTCTCTTAAGGAACATCTGGGCATTCGGCAAACGTTCCTTTTTAGTGGTTTGATAAGGACATGTACTTTCTCCTCAGTACACACTACTGAATCAGGATGAGGAGGGCTGGTGGGAAGCCTGTGCAGTAAAACAATGAACCACAATGCAGAAGCCCTTGTTTGGTCACTGCAGGAGCATCATGTAGCAGATTAGGGCTGCTCAAAGAACCACTGCCAAAAGTAGCAGCAAAAGTGGGTTTATTGAAGTAAGGTGTAAAAGTGGGGCTTAACAGAGTCTGATGGCAAGGGTCAATCAATCTATTACTTACTGCACACAGGACATCATAATGATTCAGAGTTACCAACACAGGATTTTACTGCCCTGCAATACAAGGTTAAGCACAGTATCAGTCACTTACCAAAGATCTGCAGTTAGTGAGGGGTTTCTTAACCTCAAGGAGTAACCTTGAGAAACATCCCAGCTCAAGAGGGGATCACTGCCATGCAGCCAGCTGCTTAGCAGGGAGAGCTCAAAAAAAGCTCAGTGTTATATTTATGGAATAAAGCAGTTGGCTCATAGTCAAATCACATGGGATGGAAAAGGTAAGTATGAGAGTCCTTGTACCCACAACCTCCTTTGTTCCGTGACCAAATCAGTCTTGGAAGAACCACCTGCTATTCATGTGTTAATGGCATGATCAGTGTTCTGGTTTCCAAGCTCATACACATCAAAGCTCCTGGTGTCACTCTGTTCCTGTGTGGGTTTTCAAAGACCAGGTTGGAACTGGAGAAGTTCACAACCTGGTCACAGCCTTGACCTTTACTTCCTCCAGAGCCTGAATCAAACTACCCCTAGTTTGGTCCAGCAGTCAGGTGTACCCATCACAGGGCACCCACCAGCTAAGCAGACATGGGTGGGGAGCACAGCAGTGCCCACATGGACCATGAATCACCCTTTTACTCCTCATTATGGGCCAGGGTGGACACAGGGGCTTGGAGCAACCTGCTCTAGTGGAAGGTGTCCCTGCCCATGGCAGAGGGTTGGAACTGGATGACCTTTAAGGTCCCTTCCAACCCAAACCAGTCTGGGATTCTATGATTCTAACAAGTGCTGAAATACAGCCACTCCAAGGTGAAAGGAGGTCCTACCATCCAGTCAGGCTGCTGTGGCTGCTGTGAAGGGCTGCTCTCAGCTGAGCCTCACTGGGGTCCCCTTGGCTTCTCAGCTCACACCAGGGCTGTTTGCTGGCCATCTGTAACATGTTTCCTGCAGAAATGCTTGTGCACAGCCACCCCAAGGGTCTCACAGTCTGCAGAGCAGAGCTGCAATGCCCTAGGCTGACAGCTGTACTGTGGAAGGAAGCACTGGGCTGGGAATTTGGCAATTCTCTGCCCACAGAGCAAGCTGTAGCTCGGAGGACCTGAAGTCCAGTGAGCAATCCCAGAACAAAGCTCTGGGGAGCTCCACAGTTGGGAGGAAACTTCCAGACACCAGTTTGTGACATCTGCTGATATACTACATCTTTCCTGCAGAAACAGCCTTTGGCTCTCACGGGGCCAACCTAAAGTTCACACCACCATGGCCTGTTATTTATCCAGCTCTGCATTGTCTGTAACACTTGATAATGAGACAGTTTCTGGGTTTGCTTTAGCTTTGGGCTTCAGACAGCAGCTCCTTTACTTTGCATCCGTACGCCTACAAATCAAAGTATGTCAGCAAAAGACTGCAATACTCACAAACTGAAATATGAAACACCCTTCCCTGCGTGCAAACTGGCTTTGTTCTCAACCACGTTTATATCTCAAAGAGATCATGAAAGAACAGTCACGTATGTCCAGTCTTGCTTATTCCACTGTGATTGACTTTGGGAGGGGGGAAAGGGTCTCAATCACTTTTACTAGCTTGTTTTTAAGCAGTTCGTTAAAGAACGCAGGGAAAGGAGCAATATTTCATTATAAGGAAAAACAAACAAACAAAACCAGAATAAAAATAAACTTTAGGCCAGCCTCTGGCCTCCATAAACAAACTTACTTGACTGACTGCAGAGGAACAGTCTGACATCTTCGATCAAGACCAGTAAAACTGAGCTTAATGCTTAACTCCATCCTTGAACTGTTAGCAAAGGTCTCCAGTGAGCCCACTCCCACTGCTGCAGAGGCAGGAGAATGCTTTCTGTAATTGCAGAGATATTGCCATTTCAGACTGTACCCTGCATTCAACCTCTCCTGGCTATGACAGCCCCATCTCGCCATACTCCATGAGACAGAAGTACCTCTGCGAGAAAACTGGAACTAATCAATGCAGGGGAAAGCAGAACCAAATGCCAAGATCTGGATGCTAAGGCCCAGTGCAATGGGTTCCCCTTAATCACCTAAAATGAGAACACATTTGCCGTGACAGGGAATTTCAAGAGCACATGATACCAAGCTCTGCTCCCATCACTCCCGCAGATTTGTTCTATCAGGGAAAGACTCAATTACTCAGCACTAACTGCCTGAAAAGGACAAAGCCATCCACAACTATAGAATTACATTAAAGTGAACAGAACAGCACAGTGGGTTAGATGTACATCTTGCACAAATCAAAACAGGAAAAACCAAACCCCCTACACTGTTGAATTTAGCCCCATATCCTTAGTAAGGATATGCAAACTGCAGATTACATAGAGAAAGCATAACACTGGTCAAGTAGGATGCATGGTACATGCCTGAGACAATAAGGAACATTCTTAGAAAAAGGGTGAAGATGAATCAAGAGCATGGGGTGCACAGTTATCTGGCTTCTGTCCTCCAGATAAATCCCTGCCTTTTCCACGCCCACAGGAACACAGGCACAGCAGCACAAGGCTCCTCTGAACTAGAGACACTTATACTAACTTGCCCTGTGCAAAGAAAAAACCACTCAATCAAGTGGTGCACTTCGATCATCAAAATGGCACCTCAGCCCTCAAAAAGATACAAATTCCAGAGACAAGGGGGTTAACTCATCCACAAAAAGTAGCACTGATAAATAAACTAATTTATATAAAAGAGAGGCTATCGACACGTTTGGGGGTAGAAGAAAAGTCACCTTCTGAGCCCACATGCGCTTGTTTTATTTACATATCCACAAATACCATGAAACACCATCCCAACCCCCCCACTAGCAGCATGGTCACATGAATCCCATAGATGAGTAGTTCATTCATGAGGCTGAAGTCTACACGCCTTCGCCCCAGTAAGAGGAGGATGATGGAGAGTTTGTACTGGAAACGCAGAAAGATCCGGATGCCAAGGTACTGAAGGCAAAACAAGATAGAGAGTGCCACCCAGAGGATGGAGGTAAACAGGCTGCAGCTGAAGTACAGCAGGAAACGGATGAATCCATACATCCATCGGGATTTGAGATAGATGTCGAAATTGTTGTACTTGGTACGCACCAAGTGAGTGGTCCTCACCGGGCCACAGGCCGAGTGCAGGCAGGTCGTGTGGGGGCCGTGGAACGAGCGGACCCGGCGGGGAATGGGGATTACCGGCATCAGGCACCCCACCGGTCACCGAGTCCCAGGGCAGGATTTACAGGGCACATATCAAATATTATCCATGAACATGGAAGAGCTCCAACAGCCTGGGAACGCTAACTCTTTGCTGAATTTCCAGGAAGGAAGAGACCTGCAGGAAGGCAGAGAAGGAAAACACATTTAAGTAGCCCCAGCAGGAGGAGAGCAGCACAGCAGATACTCTTGGCTCAGCTGTGACTTACAACTGCTTTTGCAAAACTCAAAAACTCCACTTTGCTTCTTTGGTTACTGTTTACCAGACATACAGAGATAAGTCATCATCACCAAGTCACATTGCACACAGCTCCCTTGTCGCATGCAGTGTCAGCGCTAACTGTAACCTGTTAGAAGCCTCACAGTGTTAATGCAGGAAAGAGAACAACTTTGTTCTGGAATAAACCACAGATCCTTCTTAACCAAAGAGCCATCCTGCACCAGGCCACCCATGCGAGTGGGAATACTAATGTATGTGTTTGCATTGGTTCGTGTTTCTTTGAAAGGAAAACACAAGTTTTCCAGGTACTTCTGCAAGTGAGTTCCACAGCCCAGCCCCAGCAGCAAGTTTGGATTTCTCCTCATTTCTAAACGTGGCAAAGCTTCACCAAATAAACAAACTGAACAGAATGGAAGGTCCTGCAGGAACAATGAGGCAACTGTGTTTTTCACACTCCACAGGATGTACCTCCCCTGGCTCAGGCGAGCCTGGAGCTCTCCCTGTCATTGCCTCCCATGGCAAGGCAGCCTTTCAAAGACATCCACCAGTTTATTTCTCCCTTTGGGACCTGCAGAGATAAGTGAAATATTTTGATCTTCTGGAGTGTTTAGGATTTATAATCTTAACATCCTTCCACACACCCATTGTTGTTGTGTGAGTGATGAGCAGTAGCCTGTTAGCTGCTCTCTGCTTCACCCCAGGCTCACCATGTGCCAAATTCCGGGAATTATACAATGACAATGCACTCATCAGATAATGCTGAAAACAACAGGGACTTCCCCAGCCTCCTCACACACCCAGGCTGCAGAGCTGGGCAGATCTTGCCTCTGTTGAGCCAGAAATCCTCTTACTCTTAAAATTAAAACTAACCTGAAAGTTACTACAAGAAGCTTTCACTTTGTCACTAATAAACTAATCACAAGTAAATTATAAGGCTGCAGAAAACTGTACTTTGATATCAAAAACCTCCTCTGATACAATGTGCATCACTGCTTCAGCCTTCACTGCTTCCTGCCTCAAATTCCATGCAAATGGAAACTGCAGCTCTGCTCTCTTCTGTGTGGCCCCAGGTTCCAACTCCTTTTTGCCAGGAATCTGCAGGCAACCTGCCGGCTCTGCATGAATCAGGGGCTAATAAAAAGGAGCTTGGATTAATTTATGATTAAGGAATTTAGGAAATTGAGGTCTGTTCTCAGTTCTCAAAGACACCCTCATAATTGTAAATGCTGCTTTGCCATAATTTCCTGCCTGTAGAAAGGAAACACCATCAGCTCAGAAGTATGTTACAAGAATGTGTTTTGCAAGACATGTAATTTGGTCAGATGCTAAACCAACACTACTTAAAAACAACACAGTTTTGTGCCTGGAGCCTGCAACCAAACATACATCCCACATGCTGCAATTACACTGCTCAGTGTTTGCTCTCAGAGATATTTTTGGAGGACTAAATTAGCAAGATAGGTTAAAATTCATATACTCTGGACTCAGAACATATAATTTCTGTTGATGCAGCCTCCTTACAACCTCTTTTCCAGGCCACAAAGGACAGTTAGCATTTTCCAGCTAACACACAGCTCCTGAATCCAAGTCCCTGAGAGCCACAGGGAAATCAGAACACGCACACGAGCACTCAGCACCACCGTGCCTGCGTGAGGAGCCAAACCCTGCTTGCATAAGGTGCAGTTTGTGGGGGTAAACTCAACACCCTGGCTTCATGTCTGAGCCCTGCATTAGGAGAGTTTTCATCCTGACAAAACCTTCAACAGATGAACCCAAGAGAAGCACTTCAACAGCTCAGCTGTAGAGAGTTACTCATTGGGAACAGCAGCAGCTTGTTCCCATTTACTCTGCCCACCATATAACCAAAGAGCCTTTGGCAGGTTTATACTCTTTAGACAAACTCCAGTATCAACACTGGGACAGCCACGAGAAAGGGACATGGTCAGAATAAAATAAACTCTCTGAAATATTACATTTTAAGGGTGCTGCAGCCACTCTGCAGGAGGTCGAGAATCCGCTGCCGGTCCTGAGGCCACTTAATTCTTGTGCCAAGAAAAGTGATGTTTTCCTGGGACACGTGGCCTTCTAGGAGGAGGGAAAGAAACTGCTAAGGTGCTTCAGAGACTCACAACACTCTACATATGAGTTGATCTAAAAGATAAAATGAGAGAGTAAGTTTCAATTTGCTCACTTTGTGTGTTAGAAGGTTCAGAATGACAAGGCCCCTCCCCAAGAATCAACTGTTAATCCCATAAAGATTCTCAGAAGAATCCCACACTCAATAACACGTCTTACAGCTTGCTGAGATGTGCTGGAAAGAATCACCTAGCTAGTACTCAGTGCCAGACAAAGCCAGGAAAATCACAAAATACTCGTCAGTCACTTTCTCCTACCACAGAGCCATCACCATCCATCCAGGGTGTAGAAAGCACAATGCAGAGCACCCACTGCCAACGTTTTTCAAACAGAATATGGAAAAGCAGCCCCCCCAAACATACAACCGGATCATCTTTTTGGGATCCTTTCTGTTTTAAAGCACCTTGCTGTGAGGTTGGAAAGCTGCATCAGTCTCTTCTGGGTATCATCCTACAGCTCAAAGGATATCAACTCTAAGGCCCAAGTGACTCGATGTGAGCCATGCTGCTGTCATGCACAGCATTATATTAACTACAGCCTCATGAGGAGGTTTCAAATCTGAGGAACTATTCACTTGGGTGAGTTTTCACTTCCTCTCCTTTAAAATGGAGTGTATGATGAGGAAGCTATGGAAACACAGCCCCACTTCCCTTCATCTATCTCACATTCCAGATTTGCTGTTACTCGGGTACTTTGTGGAGGAGGAGGAATGATGGAAGGGCCCCCATGGTGACAAACGGGCCCATCAGTCAGGTCCCATGGGACCAAAGTGTTCCAGGAGCCAAAGGAGGTTTGGGACAATGACAAATAAAGGTTAGTGCTGGTAACTAAAAGCAGGGAGCACCGGAAGAAGGGGAAATTCCAACTCCTCCTACATCCTACCAATCCTAAATTAAACCGCATCGATTCAGGAAAAGAACCGGAGGCAGAAAGCGCAGCCCTGACT